AAAACACGCTCTGAGGCGGAAGAGTTGTGGCCAGCTTAAATCAGGTTTTTGATGGGTTGAAGTTGGAACAGATTTCTCATTCATGTTTTGGCAGATCAACTAATGTTTATTGGTGCTTTGCGATAGCCTATATCAATCAGCTTATGGTAGCAAGAACAAAAATATCTCAACTTGCGATTTTAAGCGGCCAGTTCGAGGGATATAACAAGAAGAATGGTGAATTATTAGTTCTTGATGATGGGCAGTTACCGGATTCGCTAATCTTGTATCCGAAACACTATCGTGTGACGAGCCTCATCCAAGCACGCTTCAGCTGGTTCGTTTGCGCGAAAGAATTTCACTCTCACTAGGGCTCGTTAGCATGTGTCCTCAATCAGATTTCTACTCTCGTTTTCCTATATCCGGGCTAGGCCAATTGCCGGCAATCAACTAGCAAATGACGGGCGGACAAATGTCTCCATTAATGAGCAGTGCTCTCATGGCTTGCCACACAATTTGGGTTCAGAAAAGATCAGTGAAGCAGTGTCCAGAAATCTGCCAATTGCCGGCAGCCAACTAGCAAATGACGGGCGGACGAATATCTCCATGAATGAGCAGTGCTCTCATGGATTTCCACACAATTCGGGTTCACAAAAGATCAGTGAAGCAGTGTCCAGAAATCAAGGGTGGTATCATGTGATGCACGTATTGGATATTCTCTCTCTTTCTCTTTCTCTTCCTCTGATAGCTTATTAAATCCAACTTGTTGTCAATGTGTCGAAATATTTGTAGGTCGGATGCATTTACTGGTGGTTGATCAGATCTGTTCGCTGCGCGGTTTGGTGACGCGATGTCTCCTCTACTGGGGATGAAAAATTTGTAGGACAGATGCCAAGAACAGATCAACGGCCATCTGATCAACCACAGGCACTCCAACTTGTGACGTCAACTCAAATGTGGTAGTCTGATAAAACTGTACCTCCATTAAAACGTTGAGTTTTAAGGTTTCCCTTAGTGAACGAAGTCTTTTTTCGGATGCAGCCCTCTGTACGTTCGGTTTCGTCCTTTCTGTATAGTTGTGTATATTTTCACCCACTTTTTCGTGCCGGGTTTTTCGCTTCAAAAGAAAGGTAAAATAGCTCCCCCATGAGAAAGACCCACTTCGTTAGATGCATCAGGAGAGTTCTATCATAAATCAAAACATGTAAATGGATCAAATAAAATTTCAAACTCATATAATGAGTGATCGCATTCAGAGCTGAAAATCTAACCCGATTGTAGCCACGAGTAAGACAGTTGTCTAGATTGAGCTCTTTGTCTTGGAACTTTTAAACATCCTGTTAATCATAGTATGCTCGAAAAGGATTCAGTGACAAACATGGTTATATTCCACTTTCTTCACAGACTGCCGCCGAAATAAGCAACTTTCATGTGTGAGATGCAAGTGAGGTGTCGCTTTGCAAGGATACACCGATACAGCTTTGCCGCCCGTAGTTAGGTGCTGGTACGTCCAAGAGGCCTAGCCCGCACGCGATTGGTCAAAAGATCGGACCACTTCTCGGTCCAGCACCAAGACTAGCTCTGATTGGTCGAAAGCCCGAACCCAGCAGCCAATCATAAACCAACAATCACCGACTGGTGGTTGTCGGTAGCGCGTCCAGAAGGCATCAGAATTTCCAGAACGTTCTCGCCAAATACACTTTATAAACGAGGCACTGTAAATGTATTTTCTCCTGGTTTTGGGTGTTAATACACGCTGTGCACATTGATGGCTGTGTTGATGGGAACGCTAGCCTGAGAGGTTCAGACCGAGAACAAAACCGAGAAAATACCATCATTACAGATAGTCAGTGGTCTGGTATTTGGAGAAAACCCAACAGAAGCCGAGCGGAAGAATATTCCGTAGGCTTGATCCGTTTAAGTTTAGTTTAGCCTCACGTTTTGGTATGCACGAATCATTTCAGTTGTTATACTTTACAGTGAAATGGAGGTGTTCGTTTACTGCTTCTTGAAAGCATGTCTCTCTAAGCCGTTGATGCGTTGAATCCAATGCGGACGGAGCTTTGCGTCCGAACAAGTAATTTTTGTGTGATGGCGGAAAGACATTTGATCCTAATGACACAAAAAAGCTTTCGACAAGTACTCTGATTTGCACACGAATCTCGACTAATTCTTCCTGAATAACCCATTCACTGTGGTCCGCTTCGACCGAATGTGCTGCACAGAGGCCATCTGATGTTTCAATCCGCACAATATTCGAGCTATCGCAGTACAATGTCTAGACTTAACACACTACTCCTGAGGTTGGTGCAGACTCCTCGACAGCCCACGCACCCTCATTCGAGCTCACCAGGTGCGCATAATCCCGAATTCTCCCTCAACCTTATGTTCTAATTAAACCCAAATTTCTACAGATGTGTTATTTTTGAAAAGATTTCAGCAACTTTACAAGTAGTGGTTTACGTTTCGGTAACACAAGGAGCTTATTGTGCAGACGACGTGGATAAGCATAAACTATCAATCAAACTTGGTTGCGATGAAAACAACTGCCTATAAACTCTGTATTCATCGCTTGTCTTTTCCTGTGCAACAAACCAACAAATACAGTCATACAAAATACATATCTGGTAATCGTTGCTCATGAACTCTGTAATCAGCTAGCTAAAATGTCTTCCTCGGGAAGTTATAATTGGTAGTTATTTTTTTCTAACAGAGGATTCCAACCGCACCACGTCCACCGGGCGCGGTCTTTCGACAGAGGTGAGGGATGGTCTCAAAAGGGTTCAATCTTATGAGGGATGTTTTGGCCCGCGGTTTGCCCCTGCAGACTGAGACTTCCGTATAAGCAAAACTGTGCTAAAAATTACAAGCATTTGAAAAGACGCGTTTAGAAACTTACCCATGAGTATCAGTCCGATTCCTTGTTTCTTTCCTGTTGTCTGTTTGTGATAGACGGTGAGTTGCATGGTCACTTCACCAGTAAGGTGTTGTGCCACATTGAATACGAGTACTTCGTGGAACACAGGGGTTGTTGTGCGTTTCACAGTCTGTGTGATCCCCTGAGCAATCTCTTTACCTTCATTGTCGCTAAATGTGATTTGGACGTAACAGGCTGCAGACACAAACGGATGTAAACGAGCAGTGTGTGACGAAAAGCAAGGTATGAAATAATGGACAGGTGTGGGAACAAGCGAAAGGCATCAAAAGGTAATGACATGAAATGTAGGCATGATACACTTGTAAACGGGTTCCGTCAAATCACTGGGTTAAGAAGTTCCTCAATTCAATTTCCTCACGCGTTCACAAGACCCTTCATGACTATGGTCGTTAAAACCATACAGTAAATAGACATTTAGAAAAGCGTTTAAAAACCGCTTGGTCGTAAAATCCTTTCTGTGCTGCCATGCCATTCACGAGGGCTGACATACTGCCAGGTTACCCAAGCCTAGACAGGAGCATTCGAGATGCAGAAGTTAGGTTCGGACCACTGACCGCCATAGCCACTGAGCTATCTTGCGCTCAGTGAGTCACCTAGTCAAACAGGGTATAAAATCTGGTCAAGGGCATCTTCACTTTTGACCGATTGCATAGGCCTGTCATCTTCAACCTTACAGCTGCACCAGGGTTTCATTCGTGTCCACCGTCAGTGCAAACGTCTGTTCAATCCCAAGGAAGTCCATTAGATGCCCATGTATAAAGTGAAAACTGATGGAAATTTCACGACTGGGAATAAGTGTTAAGCTTCAGCAGGATGAAACCTGCAGTGGGTCGTAGACGAGGTTTTATTAGGTAATGTCAGGGAAGGGTAGGTCTTTTCTCATCTTGTACTGATCGGTGGGCGTGATGGCGTGCTTAAATGCATTTTCTTAGTGAACAGAAATTGTTACGAGGCGGATTTGTAAATGAACAGTGGTCACCATGGCGTTATACCAAGAATCTGCCTGAACGAAGTGAAAAACAGAGATACCTTCAAAAGATAAAAGTACTATGTGAACGCACCGAGATATTCCGAGATGTATTGGTGGTCAACGATATTTCGTTTCGAGTGTGAACACCAGTCTTGGAGGCTGTCGACTGCAGCCACCTAATACTTAGATCTACCAGACGTCTAATCTGCGTGTTGGTTAGCGGGGCGAGGTGGCTCAGTGGTTAGAATGGAAGGTTCACAGTTCAAACCCGACCTCTGCCTCATGACTTCTCCTGTCTAGTCTTGGGCAACCTGGCAGTATCTCAGTCCTCTTTCTTCCTCTGGTTGACATGGCAGCTAGGCACCGAAAGGCTGTTACAGCTGAACTACACACATCTTGTTGATCAGCAGCAGTTGTCGAAACTTGGTCAACTTGTTTTGAGTGGTAGCAGCAAGGCTCACAAAGCTTCTGTACCAAAGATCACCTTTTTTCTAGAAATAAGCGCTGTTGAGAACCTTCAGATGGCATGGATATTCAAACTTGGATACCTATTACCGGTTTTTTCGATGTTGTGAACTGGAGGCTCATTTTGTTTGTATTCCCAAGGGCGCCATTTTAAAAATTAATTTTTAATTATTGACCGTACCCAAGGAGATTTCCTTGTCTCTGTTTGCCTTGACAGCTTGTCACATTTCGTCAGCTTTTCATCTTCGTACCGACCACAGTGAAACAACCGTCTCAGTTGCCTCTTGACCGTTTGACGAAGTTTTACACCCAAAGGATCAATTAATGTATCGGCTCCCAGTTAACAGCGCTGATAGAACTCGTAGTTTTCCCACAGGTTCACAGGATCAACAAACCGAAAACCCAGAGGAGACTAACGCACTTCTGCCTTGTTTTCCTAAATGGAAACCAACAGATTTAAGATCTAGTGAATGCCTTTTTCGTTCCGCTTACCATATATCATCCTTTAAACTCGATAATTCACTCAAAGATATCCAGTCGATGAGTGGATTTTAGACTAATTATTTACTTCATCACCTTTTAGAGTACGTACATCTCATCCGTAGGAATTACTCCAGCTGCACCCACTGACGGTTCGGTGCTGAACATTGTGTAGGGGTAAAGGTCCTTCGCCGAGAAGTCACTTATTAGCAAACACCAACTAAGCAGTTACAAAATATTGGACAAGGAAGTAAACGTCTCAAAGCAGTTACATTGGACAAGGAAGTAAACGTCTCATATGCACGCAGTTTTTAAAAACTGAGCATTCGCACATGTCTTCTTGAACTCTCATGGATATTAGTTGACTATCACGCAATCGCAAACGAACTTTGAGAAGCAGTTCCGCAAGCTCCGTAATAAACTTCACTTTCCTATAGACGCGGGGCGGAGCTCCGATAAAACCAAAGACTACTCGCATGCCTCATCAGTAGTATCCGCAGTCACACCAGTAAATCAAGCACCCAATAGGTAAGACATTGCATAGGCTGTTCTGAGCCAGTCAAACAGAACGGTTGGTGAACACATGAACCCAGCCAGAGCTCACATGCTAAGGCTATAAAGAACTACCATCGCTGGCAATACTGGAATTAAGCCAAACTTTAAAACCCTCTAGGCTTATCGCATTTGCCTCACCCTGGCTCAGAACCTCCAAATTTCCCAATAGCCCACCAGCAATCAATGTGACCCAGATGAAGAATAATTTCCTAAGGTAACGGACACTTCTTTAGAGAAGTCGTCACTTGTTAGCCAGGAATCCACACGGATCCCACTATACCGCACGCCTTTAGGCGCTGCTACGGCCGAGAAACCTGGCCCGCTCGAGGTTGCCCCAGAATTCGGGACGCTTGCCGGTCCGGCACCAAGGCGAGATCTGATTGGTCAACAATCTGGACCCAACAGCCAATCATGACCCAGTATTGGCCAAATGCCGGTTGCCAATGTCGCATCCAGAACCCGTCGGAAATTCCAGAAAGTTATAACCGCTTACGCTATATATACGAAGCGCTGTACAACTGTTCTTGACTTCGTTTTGGGCATTAATAGACCTTGTGCACCCTTGGTGGTTGTTTTGATGTGAATGCTAGCTTGGAAGGCTCAGACCGAGAACTAAGCTTAGGAAAATACCGTTACTACATCACTGGAGCAGCCAGCTAATACGTGACTACGTCATGTGGTTTTCGTAACTGAACGGTGAATTGCGCAATCTCTTGCCCGAGTGAAAGCCAACCACACTGCTGATCAGCCGCTCGTAGCCAAACGGTGAAGTGTTCAACTATTAGCCAGAAGGTCGCAAATTCGAAACTCTCAGTTGTTGCGATGCGCACTGCTTATGATTCCCAATAACGATGAGAAAACTGTACGATGCTTCTTGGCTTTTCAGCATAGATTGTCCACACAGAGGAGAAAAGTCCTGGTAAATATGTGTTGACCTATAAATCATGGTTATACGGTTAGTATCCACTTACCAAATGAACTGGTTTCTAAATAAACCCTAAGTCACTGTGTGAGATCAAGAACGACGTAACGAGGAAACCGGTAGAAGTTGAAAATTTAAATCCCATGGACCAGTCAGTTTGACCTAAATACATATTTCCAACTAAACAAGCAAAAAAGGACTAGCAAACCAAACAACCAAAAGTCAAAAGATTGAGAGCTACTTTAACAGATGTACAAATCAGGCTTAGGAAAATGCGCCTTAAATTGTGAACCGGCCCATGAGAGAAAACGACAAAAACTACAGCCAAAACCAATCAGACAACGGGAACGCAACGCAGATCACGGTTGGACCAATCAGAGTACGAAGAATATGGCTTTCAACCAGCCGGTCAGCTTGAAGGCGCTACGTTCTCTTTCAAATTTTTTACAGTCTACGACAGTGAAGCCTCAGTGTCAGCGCTGGTATTGCTGTCTTTGATGATGATGGTGACGATGGATGA